GATGCCTTGGTAGTATCCCTCCAGGTTGGGGAGTGCCAAGTGAAACGCATCGTAATAGATCAAGGCAGCTCTTGTGACATCATGTATGTCAGATGTTACAAGGAGCTGGGCCTTCACCCTGATGACTTAGAACAATCCAGCGACCCGATGGTCTGCTTTAATGGAACGCTGACATGGCCACTGGGCGCAACAAGCTTGGAAGTACAAGCCGGCACTAAGAAGATCAAGACGGAATTTCTGGTAATTGACATGCCCTCACCATACAACATCATCTTGGGAAGGCCGTGGTTGCATGCAATGGGGCAGTTCCCTCAACGTTGCATCAACTACTACGGTTCCCAACAGAGCATGGGATTGAAGAAGTCAGAGGAGATCAACTGCAAGCAAAAAATTGCTCCATGACAGCAATGAAGTCCACCTGTAGTATACGGGAGCCAAGGAAAGCAGAAGTTGAAGATGAGGACATGGAGGTCCTAGAAGACGTCGGGAAAGAACCAGCCGAAAAGAGTGAAGAGGCACTAAAAAAAGTTTTCGTCCAAGAGGGCGACGAAGAGCGCTTCTTTCTTCTCGACTCAGGCTTAGCTAGAAAAGAAGAAAGAGAACTGGAAGATTTTTTGAGGGCAAACATAGAGGTGTTCGCCTGGACACCTTACGAAATGCCTAGCATTGACCCTGAGGTCACTTGCCACAGACTGAATGTCGACAGGTCGGCAAAACCTGTGATTCAACGAGCCAGAAGACCGACGTTGAATCACGTCGAAGCAGTAGAAGAAGAGGTAGACAGACTCCTGGAGGCCAGGTCCATCCGAGAAGTTCAGTACCCAACATGGCTGTCCAACACAGTAGTAGTAAAAAAGAAGAATGGAAAATGAAGGGTTTGTGTAGACTTTACCAGCCTCAACAAAGCCTGCCCCAAAGACAGCTTTCCTCTGCCCAAGATCGACCAACTGGTAGATGCTACTTCAGGACATGAAAGGATGAGTTTTCTAGATGCATACAGAGGATACCACCAGATTGCCATGTACCCTCAGGAGAAGACCGCGTTCATCACCCCTAAAGGCCTGTACTGTAACAAGGTAATGCCTTTTGGGTTGAAAAACGCAGGAGCAACCTATCAGAGGTTAGTGACAAAGATGTTTAAGCACCTGATTGGCAAAACAGTAGAGGTCTACATCGACGACATGGTCGTGAAGACCAAGGAATCAAAGGGTCATCTTACCGACCTAAAAGAGGTCTTCGACATACTCAAAAGATATCGGCTCCGACTCAACGCCTCGAAGTGCGCCTTCGGAGTTGGGTCAGGTAAATTCTTAGGATATCTGGTAACAAGAAAGGGCATTGAGGCCAACCCAAGCCACAATCAAGCCATCCTGAACTACAGAGCCCGACATCGGCAAAGCAAGTTCAATGCTTACTGGAGGGCCGCAGCCCTAAACAAATTCATCAGGCAGAAGCTCAGATAAGTGCAGCCCTCTCAACCTGGTGAAAAAAGCCACAGACTCCTATGGACAGAAGAATGTTGAAGCCGCCTTAACCGACCTAAAAAAAGTACTTGACCACAACTCCGGTTCTTTCAACCCAGTACCAGGGGAGGAACTGTTTTTGTACTTAGATAGAATCTCAGAACAGCAATCAGTGCAGTGCTAATCCGAGAGGAAAAAGGGGAGCAAAAGGTTGTTTATTATGTAAGTAAAACTTTGGCGACGCAGAAACAAGAATACCTACCACTGGAAAAATATTAATGCTGGCCTTAGTAATGGCTTCAAAGAAGTTGAACCATTACTTTCAGGCACACAAGATTGTGGTCCTAACAGAGCACCCACTGAAATCCTTGTTGCAACAAGGAGACTTAACAGGAAGGATAGCAAGATGGGCTGTAACCCTGGGCCAGTTTTACCTGGAGTTTAGGCCAGAGCAACAATAAAGGGTCAAGTTTTGGCCGACTTGTCGCAGAACTCACACCTGAAACCATCGCACATCGGGCTCCGACGAGCCAAGATGAGCATTGTCCCAACAAGCAAAAAGAATCCCAGCCAACGAAAAGAAAGCAAGGAAGGAGAAGTTCAGACCCTGCAGCATCTACATCGGCCGATTCATTCAGACTATTCGTCGATGAAGTTCAAACTGCCAGGGAGCAGAGCAGGAGTACTGCTGATATCTCCAGATGGAGAAATAGTAGAACAGTCCATCCGTTTGGGGTTCAAAGCCTCAAACAATGAGCAGAATAGATAGCATTAATTGCAGGCTAAAGCTGGCAGCGCAGCAGTAAGCAGTATAATAAAAGAAAATAGGGTAATTGTTTTTTGTGATTCACAACTCATTGTTAACCAGTCAATAGGAGAATTTGCAGCCAGGAACGAAAGAATGTCGGCATATCAAAGAAGTCATCAGATTGGCAGCCCTATTTCAGAACTGCAGATTACTCCAAGTTAGCCGAGATGACAACAACCACGCCGACGATTGGCTAACCCTGGCCAGTTCATTCAAACTGGAAAAATAAGGACAATTATGATCGACTACATGTCGGACCCGAAGCATAGATAAACAGAGCACCGAACAAGAAGCAATGTGCGTGACTTGGGACCAAGCTGGATGGATGCAATCATTTGCATTCCTAAAAGAGGGGAAGCTGCCAGAAGACCATAAGGAAGCACATAAAATCAGATCTGAAGTCGGCCAGATTCAGTCTAACAGCAGAGAGGCCATCTCTACAGGAGGTCTTCACTGGGCCGCTTTAAGGTGCGTACACACCCTTTGCAGGTTGAAGATTTCTTTACGAAATTCATGAAGGAATTTGTGGAAGCCATGGCGGGGGCAGATCATTAGCCCACAGGGCCATTACCCAGGGGTATGGTGGCCCTATATGCAAAAGGATGCCGAAGCCTATGTGAAGAAGTGCGAACAGTTGCCAAAGGTTTGCACCTTTGATACATCAGCCAGCTGCCGACCTAAACCCAGTATCCAGCCCTTGGCCGTTTGCCCAATGGGGCATGGATCTGGTTGGACAACTTCCCCAGGCAACTGGGCAGAGAAAATACTTGCTGGTAGCAACAGACTACTTTACAAAATGGATAGAGGCAGAACCTCTTGCCAAAATCCGAGATGTGGACGTCAAGAATTTTATATGGAGAAACATTATCACCAGATTTGGGATTCCAAGAGCAATAGTTGCCGACAACGGAACACAGTTTGACAGCAAACTCATCAAGAACTTTTGTGCAAAATTCAAAATCAAGAATTATTTCTCAACACCAAGTTTTCCTCAAAGCAATAGCAGAGGCATCCAACAAAGTAATTCTGGATGGAATAAAGAAGAGGCTACAGGCAGCAAAAGGAAAGTGGGTAGACGAGTTGCCCAACGTACTTTGGGCATATCGGACTACGCCAAGAAGATCAACAGGAGAATCCCCCTTTGCCGTGGCTTATGGCACAGAAGCAGTCATCCCATTGGAGATCGGCATCCCTGGGATCAGAACCCAGGGAGTAGAGAATGGCACCAATGATGTACTCTTAGCTCGAGATCTGGATTTGTTGGAAGAATGAAGAGAGAAAGCTGCAATTCAGCTTGCAACATACCAGCAACAGCTTGCCAGAGCTTATAACAAGAAGGTCAATCCAAGAGATTTTCAAGTCGGTGACCTAGTCCTCAGAAAAGTCGTCGGGAACAGGAAGGATCCTAGGGAAGGCAAGCTTGGCCCAAACTGGGAAGGACCCTACAGAATTACTTCAGTATTAGGCAATGGAGCTTATCGGCTTGAGGACAATGAGGGCAAAGCATTGCCGAGGCCTTGGAATACTTGCAATTTGAAATTTTTCTATCATTAGAAAAACATCATTTTTTGGCCGATATCATCAATAAAGTCTTTTCAGAATTCTTTCAACACGTATGATTGATAAAGTTATGCATTGATGTTTTATTCGAAGACATAATTAATGTGACCCAAGCAAACTCAGGTTCACACTGGCGGCAAAGAAAAGGCAGAAGCATTATTCTTAATTCACTTGTTTGAAAATTTAACAATTACAAGTTGGAATATCAGCATATCTTACTTCACTGTTGAAATTTGTCAGCAATTTACAAGTTGAAGTATAAGCCCGAGATTATTCCTTAATTCACTGGTTGATAATCCTTCTGTAGCCAATCTTACAAGTTGGAGTTAAGCCGAGATTACTGTTTTTCTTCGCTTGTTGAAATTTGTAGTAATTTACAAGTTGAAGTTGAGATTACTGTTTCTCTTCACTTGTTGAAATTTGTAGCAATTTACAAGTTGGAATTAAGCTGATTCCTTATCTTCACTTGTTGAAATTTGTAGCAATTTACAGGTTGAAGTTAAGCCTAGATTATTTCCTTAATTCACTTGTTGAAATTTGTAGCAATTTACAAGCTGAAGTTAAGCCGAGGTTATTGCTTAAGTTCTCATAGCAATATATGGGTTGCTTAACCCTAAGGAAGATGCTTAACACTTGTTAAAATTTGTAGCAATTTACAAGTTTATGATCACCCGCTGAGGTATACAGAAATTTACAGGTTAAAGTAAAGGCTAAGTATATTGTTTAAACACCTGTTGAAATTTGTAGCAATTTACAAGTAGGTTAGACCGAGATCATTGTTTAATACTTGTTGAAACTTGAGAAGAAGCTTGCAAAGTTTACATTAAGTAGTATATGTTTTACATCTGTTAAAATTTATGAAAGGTTTGCAGGTCAGTATCTTGCCGAAATAAAAGTTTTGTAGTTATACCCGAGGTATGTAACCCCGAGAAGATTGCACAAAGGAAGCAAAATGAAAAAGCATGCAAAAATTTCTAAGTATAGAACTATGCAGAAGCAATCAACAGAACATCACAAGACTAAAAACATCCATAGAAAGAACAGTTACAGTTACATATTGAAAAAGCTACATCGGCCATAAGAAGGAGTTTTGCATTTTCCAGAAATTAAAAGAGAGTACAAAGTACAAAGTGCAGAAAAAGAAGGAAAAAGTACAAAACATTTACAAATCAAGACTCTTCAGTATTAGCAGCTGCAGGGACTGGGACCTCGGACGATTCTGGTGGAACCTCCTCGGCAACCTTTTCTGCTTCAATCTCAGCATCAATCTCAGCCAGCGTATTGTCCAGATTTCTTTCAGCCAAAAGAAGGTCGGGCAATAGTTCCCCGATGGCAATTTCCTTTGGTGCCTCCCCAACCTCATCACCCTCCTCATCCAAGGTTAAATCCATGACTTGCTCAGCAGAAGGAGGGGACTTGGCTTCAGCAGCATCCTTGGGTTTCCTCACCAAGGCCTCATCATCATTTTTCCCTTCATCCTCATCCTCGGCATCAGCCTCAGTCTCTGATTCGTCTTCAACCTGACTTGGAGGAGGAAATGGTAAAGGAATGGCATCGGCATTACGAAAGGGCGAGTCAACAGGGAGATCAAGTTTTTTTATCAGGGACATCCAACCAAGGGAAAATCCCCTGTTGCATGCCTGCCTGACTTGAAGTTTATAATCCTCTGTGACGTCGGTCATACCCTGGGCATAGGCCTTTTCATCAGCCTCTTTGACTTCGGCCTCCTTGGTGGCCAAAGCCTGCTGGAGCTCCTTCTCAGCCTGGGCCTTTTTCACTTCGGCCTCCTTCTTCTCAGCTTCAGCTACTTTCCGGATAGCCTCAGCAGACTCCACTTTCTCTTCAGCCATCTGCTGGGCCTTAGTCGCAGCCTCGGCCTGGTCCTCTAGTTTTCTCATCCTTGATTCAAGAGATTTGATCTCCTTCTTCATGGAAGATGGTTCCCTCTTCATATCAACCAATCTTTGCCGATTTTCAAAAGATTGCATTGAAAATGAATGGGCGTGCTGAATGGCCTGAAGAAAAACAGAAGTGATTAGAAAATATTCTCAGTAAGAAACAGAAGGAAATATCACAAGTGCAAACAGGAACACTTACTTGAACGGAGTGTTGGAGCATGAGAGCGTAATTCTCATACTCACTGAGCTCAGCATTTCGTTCCAAATCCTTCGGAAGGAGAAGAGCAGTGCTGAGGGCGACACCAACGTTAATATCGTTGGCACTTTCACTGGCCATAATAGGCCTATCCTCCATAGTTAGTTCAGGGGCCCATGGAACGTCAGGCTTCTTGGACGCCGAGGCCATCGCAGACGATGACCTCGGCTTTTTTGATTGTATAGACCCTGAGGGTTGGGCCTCAGCAGACCTCTTGGTGGAAGCAGAGGTTGATTTTTTGCTTGCTGCCAGCTGAGAAATAGGCAGAGCATCCTCGACCTCGGTGTCAGCAGCCTTGGCCTTGGGCTGAGCCTTTTTTACTCTCTTCGGCTTTGGTAGGGGCATCGCATGCGTTGGTACAGCATCAGCGTTGGTTGGAAGGTCGGCAAGAAGATCTTGAACGACAGGCCTTGGACGAACCATCTCGGCCGTCTTTACAAGTCTTCGTCGACGTTTACGTTCTGGAATTGGTATTAAGTAGGGGGCCGAAGTGGATGGAAGATCGGCTGGATCAGAGGTGGATCCTTGATCTGTTCGGGATGAAGACGCAGTTACAGTTGTGGCAGTAGGTGGAGAAAGACTCTTTTTCTTCCTTTTTGGGACGTCGGGTAATGTGGATTTGTATGTCGGAATGAAATTCAGCAAGAGGGGAGCCTTGCGCTTGTGGATAGGAAGACCAAGAAGCTCCTTTAAGTCTTTTCCAGGGAAGAAGGATTGACGGAAGTTCTTTGGTGGTTGATGAAGATCTGCAGGACAAGCAAACAGACTTTAGAATCAGACAAAATTGTAAAGACTTAAATAAAAACAACTAAGTGCTGGCACTGGGCTCTTACCCTTGCCCTCTTTAACTGATCGAGGAAGAGGGTAGAGATGGACATCTTCGTCTGGGCCAAATTCCCAATTTCCCGAAGCGATAACAAAGTCATCCCCAGCCCCCTTGTTGGAGTCTGGGAGGTCGGCTACAATTTTGAACTCGGTAGACCTCGGCTTAAGGTAATAAACAAAGCCCCTTTCCTTCAGGTTGAGGGGGCACATTGTATAACAGTACTGAAGGTCGGCCAGGGTAATCCTAAGATTCTCCTGCCTAGCTAAAGCTATAATACCGTTAATCACCCTATAGGAGTTGATGGTAAGTTGCATGGGGTTCAGCTTGTAGAAATAAAGAACCTTGCGAAACAGGGGATTAAGTGGAAGCCGAAGTCCACATTCAGTGAAAGCTACTATAGGAAAGGGCATCGTATGAACTGTGGGCATAATGGAATCGTCATCCCCAGCTAGTCTAAGGCGAACATCGGATGGGATGGAAAACTCCTGCCGAAAGTATTCGAGTTTTGTTGGGGTATTTACCCTATGTCTCCACATACCCATTACGTCGGCCTAAACAAAGAGGAATGCGTTTTAGAAGATGGGCGTTTTAGAAGGATTGCAAAAACCTCGACAAAGGCCTAGGAAAGGACTGATAAGGCTTGTTTCAGTTTTCCCTAAAACTTAAAGGTTCTACACACAAATCCCAAGCCTAAGAACTATAAAGATCAAGATCGAAGGCACAGATCTGGGACAGATACGAAAAACAGAAAACGATGACGCTTCAGAATCAAATAACAGAGGTATGGTTCTCAAAAACGAAAGAAATACAGAAGTGAAAAAATCAAGAACAGTGGCAAGAAAAGTGGTGAAATAGTGCAAGTGTTCAAGATGTAGCCACGATTCAAGATACAAACAAATCCAAGGCTTTGAACAAAAGCAATAATGACAACAGGCAGACGAAAGCACATAAAGAGAACTAAGAGTGAAAGGAACAGAATCTTACCAGAACAAATGAAGCCGGGGCAATATTCGCCGAGATCAGAAATCGGTTGTGACAGCAAAGAAAGCTTCGCAAGAATGGAAGATTAAAGACAGTTTCAGAAGAGAGATTGAAGCAATGGCAGATTCGAAGAAAAAAGAGCTTTCGGAGAGAGAAAGAGCAAGAAATCAGAATGAAAAAGTGAAAAAAGAAAGAGGCAAAGAAAAGTTTTGTCAAAACTTTGAAACGGCGGCAAAAATAGGGCATTTATTACGCCTGGAGCACCGGATACGTCAGACGGCGCAAACGGATGAAGACGGATGAAAAGACAGCCTTAAGGCGCGTCGCAGGAACGGGCCAATAAAAATAAAGCGCGTAACAGGAACGGTTAAATATGCATGACAGCTCATACGCGTGGGAGAGTACGTTCGAAACCTTGTTCTCCGAAGAGGACACATCGGCTGGAAGTGGATTATCTCGGTTAAACAGTTTTTGAGCCATTACTCAGAAAAGAAATGTCGAAATATCGATATAGGTTCCATCACCTCAGAATACCGAGGTAATAGAACCTAGGGGGCAGTTGTGGGGATATATTTTCTGAATACCGACACGTGGCATGGTGACGCCGACGTGTCAGCCGAGGTGCCACGTGTCGTGGTAGTTAGGCCGAGATGATCTCGGAGTTGTCGAGGTTATCTCCGAAGATATCGGAATCCGAGATAAGCGAATAAGGGACAAGAGTCCTAAGACGAAGAGGGGACTTAACCAAGATAAGGATAAAGCTCTTAGGGAGTTTATCTTTATCTCTTAAGGAGTCCAAAGTAAGCACTGAATTGGAATTCATAGAAGTCATACTTCTAGTAGTACTTGGATTGAATATATTATAAAAGAGAGGCACCCCCGTGGGTTTAAGGTATGCAATTTATGTTTTGAGTATTAAGTTTAGCACTTGATTATCTTTGAGAGATATACTGACTTGATCGTCGGAGTGCCCCCGGGTGGAAGAACCACCACCGGAGCGTTTTCTTTCTGTTACAGGTTACTGAAGCCACCTATTCTGCCTGTGCTCTCTAGTTGATCACTAAGCGGGCAGTGTGGTCAGATTTTCACCCACACACCATTTGTCAAGAAAACACAATATTATTATTTTCTACATTATAGACCCTCTCTTGTTCTTATGAGGAGAAGCCACGTCGCAATTCACCAAAATACAATGTTTAAAAAATAAATAAATTAAAAATTAAAAAAGATATGGAATTGTGAAAAGGTGAGGAAAGACAATATCTAGAACAAAAAACACATACATTAGTGTAAACAGGGGCGGAGGTAGCATCGGCCAAGGGGGGTCACGTGCCCCCTCAATTTTGCAATTTTTTTTTTTTGTCATGGATAAAATGTATTCTGTTTTTTTCTTCTTCTTAATATGTTCTTTAGCTAATGATTTATTATATTATTCACAATAAGTAATTATTTGATACTTTGAGAACATTATGTGATATTATTTATGTAATAGTTTAAATCAATAGTGTAATGAAAAATATTATAGATTAGATATAATGAACTCATTATTTTTAAGTAGTTGACACACCACTTAGTGTGATTTGTGATTTTCTATGCTTTGAGCATCACGTAAGTAACGTCATATGGTACTCTAAGACTGTTTAATAATTTTCATTCAAAACACATCATTTATAAACAATGTCATCTCTTTAATATTTTTTTGTTAAATAAAAATTAAATAGATTCTCTAATAATTTGTGCTGTAAATGATGTGATTTTATTTTTTAAAATTAAGAATTTTGATCCATAATTTTTGTGCTAAAATTGCAAAATTACATCATCATCTCACACCGAGCTATTCCACACTATTATACAATTTTGATTTGTTCTTATTAATAATGAATATGTAATTTTTTATGTTTAAATTTATCTCATAAAATGATTATTATCTTAATGTTGCTCATGAGTTTTTTTTAAATAAAAAATTATAATTAATGAGTGTCTCTCTAATTTAATTTTCTGACTCCAGCCACTAGTCTAAACAATATTTTCTTTTTCCTCGTTGATTTCCAATAGTATCCAAACAAATGGGGGAAAAAACAAATAGTGAGAAGGCAAAACTACTGTACAAGATATACTCCAAAAAATTAAGATTAGATCTCTAAATGACAAGTCAAAAGCAAAGATTATAACATAAAGCCCTCTATGATACCATCAACTGGAGCTAAAAATCTCCAACAGGGTAGGCAAGAATTGCATCAATTAGACGTTGTGCCAGAACTCTATGTTCACTGAGATGCTGGGGTGGGAGAGAATTCTAACTTAGAAAATTAGAGAAAGAATCTGCCCAATTGGGAGATCATAGTTATAGTTTAGGAAGGATATAATTTGAACAAATAAAAAAAAAAATGAAAATAAACAAAAGAGGGAGTTTTTGTCCAGAGAAAATGTAAAACAATTAAGTGAAGAGTGCTGTTATTAGTACCCCATAAATTATTTTGGACTCCCAATTTTTGGATAATTCTATTTTCACACACCAAAACATTTCACTCCACATCCTCTCTCAATACACACACCAACTAATTTTGAATGTTGTAATTTACTCAATGCACAACCGTTTTTGCCAAAAATATCATTCTCTTTAACATTGAAACCCTAAACCAACATCCATTCTTTAGTTAGTGAAGAGCAGTTCTTCAAGCATTCTGGCAATGGCCCGGTGAAAAAAAAACTTCTTGCTGCAAAAATGAAACATGTGTATAAATTGGGACACACAAGCAAACAAATAATACATCAGCATAAAGATATTAACAAATCAATCCAAAAATTCACTCACTATGAAAAAAAAAAAAAAAAAAATTTGAATTGAATTGAAAGAATATTTACCACTAGATCCTTTGTTTTTGGATGTTTTCTCGTTGAGAATAGAATTCCTTATAGTAATGAAAATGTGCATGTATGAGATAGTCACACAAGAAACAAAATAAATAAATAAATAAATAAAGAAGAAGAAGTGAAACAGTAAAAATAGCATATTGTGAATAGCCTTTTCAACAATGAAAACAAAATTGTAATAAAAAACTCTTGAAAACAATAGTAAAAAGTTCTTGAAAACAAATATATAAACAATGTATTAGGAAAATCCTCACTCAACTGGTTAGTGTTAAGATCAAGAGATCGCAATGAATTCAGATTTCCAAAACTGTAATAGCGGCGGCAATAGCGGTGGGCGGTAGCTAGGGTTAGGGTTAAGAAATTAGGGTTTTGGTGGAGAAGAAAAGGATAGTTTAGTAATTTTATTTTAGGACAAAATTGTAATAAAAAAATAAATCATTAAGTGTGTGCACAAAGATAAGTAGGTGTGGAAATAAAATTTCTCCCAATTTTTAGCATTTTTTTTATTACAATAATAACCTCAAATAAAATTACTACAAAAGACATCATTAATTTTAGGACATCCATCCCATAATTAAACCTACACACCTACTACATCATGAATTAGGCTTTATAAGAGCACCCACTTCCATTACCATCCATCCATTTTTCCCAAATTCCACCTTCAAAACCTACCCACCCTCAAAACTTTGAAAACCTTTTAACGGCAATATTCCGGTAGTAACGGTGACAACTATTTGATTGCCTACATTGAACGGTCAAAACATGGAAATTTCTTAACACATTGAACGGTCAAAATTGTTAACGTTTGCAGAAGTTTTCATTTTTTCAAGTTCGGGAATATAGGCCCGAACATTACTTATTTGTTCGTAAACACATTCCCGAACATAGATTTTTTGTTCGGGAATGCAGGCCCGAATATGGAAATTTGTTAACAGTTTAAACGGTTAAAATTCTTAACACTCGTCGAAATTTTATTTTTTCAAGTTCGATAGTTCAGTTTTGAGGAAGCAATGTGAGAGAGAGAGAGATAGAGAACATATCAACTGTGACAATGATTACACCTTCTTCTTCTTCGTGAGTTTTAAAAAGGATAGGACTCCTTCTTCTTCGTAGGTTTTGTTAGGTTTTTTGGAAGGGAGGTCTTTTTGGAGGTGTGAGAAGTGTGTATTCAATGGGTGGAATATTTAAGAATTATTTTGGTATTATTTGGAGGGAAAGAAATTTTAAGAGTTTCAAAATTTATAAGTGAGGATCTAAAAAAATGAAAAGTCTAAAATAATTTATGAGGAGCTAATAACACCACTCTTAAGTGAATTAGTACTTTTAGGTCATGTTTGTTTGGGCGGACTGGATTAACATTCCTATGACTAATAGTCCTAGGACTACGAATCCGTTGGATTACGTATCCTATCTTAACTAATAGTCAAGTTTAAAATAATTAGTCTCTACTTCAATTGTTTAACCAAACATCGGATTAATAATTTTATTGGACTATTAGTCAAATCCCAAACTCATGTCCACCCAAACAAACATGACCTTAGAGATTATAGAAATAAATTTTACAAATAATTTCCCATTTAGTTTGGATCAAGAAATAGCCAGAATGACATTTAAAATCATACCAGAAATCTTAATAAACAATTAATTCAGAAATAACAAATAAAATAAATTGTGGAACGTATTCTTTTCCATTAAAAGAAGAGACAATTTTGTATACAACATATCAAAGTTATCAATTGGTACTGGGAAAAGTTACAGCAGACGAAAAAGAATCAGATATCTAAACTAACAAAATCCCCCACAATATATTACAAGTCAATCATGGGTTTACATATGTTAAGAAAATCACACATTAAAAAAATAAAAGGGAGAGGTGCCGGCTCTTCATAACTTGAGATTTAAGCCTCCAATTAGCATAAGAAACACATGCTCCTTGTCCGTGGTATGTTCTTTTCTTCGAGACCTCTCAGAAATGATCTAATCCCAAGATGTTCTGAAGCATACGTCATGAAAGACGCCAAAACTAGGCCTCCCACAAACATCAAGCCTAACCTGCAAGGAAGGACAATAAAGGGAGAAAAAACGCCATCATTGACTTAATCACAAACAAAAGTTGCATAACATGGATTTTTTTAATTGCTTGCCCATCCGCGCAGGACTAAAATGTCGTACACAACACACAGAACCTGGCAGCCATACCCAAACCAACAAAGAAGAAGAAAGGAAAAGAAGAAGAAAGGAAGAAGTACAAGCAAACGAAAACTGGATATAGCGTACTCCAGCCCCCAAAGCAGAAAACAAAACAGTGTGACCCCCAGAGAATTCATACAAATTTGACGCAAAATCTATGAAGAAAGATTGGTTGCTGAAAGTTGAAAACCTAAGTATCCCACTACATGCACTTAACAATGCGCAATTAGCAGCCCCTTAAAATATAGTAACACTTTAAAAAAGTCTGAAATCTCCTCAAGATAACTGAACAAGCAGAAGAATGTAGTTCTGGCATTCAACTAGTACAAACAAATTATCCCCGAACATTATTATTCCAGTCACTTAAAAAGGACAGTCATGTAGTGCTCTACTAATTTAGCAAAGAAGTTTCAGGTTCGAATTTATAGATTTTGTGAAACAAATGAAACAGCCTCATAAGCAGAATGCACGAGAAGTAACCAAGAGAAGTTCTTCGAGGTCAATAAATACAAGCTAATATAAGCAGGTTTGCTTAACAAGGGCAGAACCTGAAAGCATATAGATTTTCAAAGCATCATAAAATTCAACCAGCTCATCCCCAACACCCACACCCAAAGTGGAGGGCGCAGAGAATTTGGTTGTGTTTCCATTTTTGTTTGTTGTGTTTCCAGAAACCAAAAAATAAAAAATGAAAGGTTTTAAAAGCCCATCATTTTCATTTTTGTGCAAAAACAGTTTCCGATACTTCAAACATATATTTTGGTGTTTCTTAAAAAGTAGATTGTTTTTAGAAAATTTTTCCAAAGTAGTTTTCAGAAACAGTTCATTTTATCGTTTTCATTATGTTTCATATTACAAAAAAGAGAAATCCGAAAAGATGCAGGGAAATAGTATTAAAATCTTATGCTAACTGTAAGCCCAAATGAAAAATTGTTAGAATTTCCCATCTTTACCTTCACCTACTCCACTACACACTCCACTTCACCTATCTCCACTTCACCACACACTCCACTTCACCTAACCCACTATCACCTCCACTACACCTACTACCACATTTTCTTCTATATATAGATTGTATAGGAATTGTAATTTATCAATCTTGTAACAATTACAAACATCAATCAATAATACAATTCTCTTTTTCTCTTTATACATTAAATTTCTACAAAAATAATAGGATATAACCATACAACTAATAAGACCAGTTAAAATGCAGATTATTAAAAGTTCTGAGATGCATGTTACAAAGATTGTATTCAAGTAAATATGAAGTTCCATAATTTTCACCAAGACCACGAAAACCTAAATGAAACCCATTGTTTTGAGTCTTTTGACTGCAACTGAAGCCACACCCGCAAACACAAGTAGCAATAAAGTAAATAATGCTCCAAATCGCAACCTATAAAGAATTTCTCTTATTCAAATCAGTGACCACCTAATGCATAACAGTGATGCCACTACAAAACTAGTCATGCAAGTTACCTCAAGAACAGGGCAGTGATCCCCAGAAAACAAGGCAATGAAGGGGTAGCAACAGCCAGGAATGCCAGAAAACAAGGCAATGAAGGGGCAGCAATAGCCATGAATGCCATTCCTAACCCATAATAGCATGTAGCAATGTCGCAAGAAGATACCTGCCGCTGATGGCCTAAAACACATCACCATAGAAAAGTTGAAATAATTGGCATCAATTAAGGATGACCATGTACACTAAACTTAGTCATGTGTAAACTCAACCAACCTTTCCCAGAATCATAATCAACAGATTCAAGACGAGAAGAAACAGATCCCACTTGATATGCCTTCATCTTTCCCCACTGATAAATTAAGTGTAGATAACTTCTAAACAATAGGAAGAAGATCATGAATGTCCACTCATACATCAGAAGCATACCAGTCCATGGCATTACTTGCCGAGGGACAATCAGTAGTGCAAGTGCGAGGGATATAAAGGCAGCCACAAAACAGACAAAAACAGAAAGTCCACCCAAAAACATAGGCACCTTGGACTGCAATCCGTTTGGGAACTGCTTATGATCAAAACAAAGAACTTTTAACAAACATCAAAAAAAAAATATTATGTACAAATGATTTATAAGTTTTACATAGCAATCTAGGGAGGGTTAACACCCATTTGCACCCCAAAGAAAGCATCACGATTCATGAGTAATGGCTACTCTATGAGACAGCAAATATATCTCCATATAAATTTTATTAAAAAGAAATGGAGACAAAAACATAGATAACTATCATACACTTTTCCTAGAAGTTGGAGACTAACCTGTTGATCAGAATTAACTGTAGACGAAGAAACAGCAGAATAAGCAAGAATACCCCTAGACCTGAACTTGTAGTAAAGTTGCCTAACGTGATCGCAAAATGAATGGATCTGCATGAAAATCAAATGATTTCACCTCCAAAAATGCAATTATATATCTGCCAAGTGTTAAAGAATGAGATTATAAGGAAATTGCTGACCTGAAGAAAAGATCGATAGTAACAGAAAAGTAAAGTAAATAACGGGAGCAGAAAAAGAAGTTTCACTAGAATTTCATCTTTAGGATTTTTGCCACCACCAGTTCCAGGAAGGGTTTCTTCGAGATGTTCCCTAGCATTCTGCAGCATCGGCAAACAACAAATTTATATCATTAGGGGGTGGATTTGCTGCATGAATCCTCTTCAACTGCATAAAAGAATGCAAGAAGTAAAGGATTGAGTGCAGAAATTGTATAATTGGTTGGAAAGAAAAGAAACTGCATATGAATAACTGTTATGGAGTAAAATAAAAAGTACCTGCCAGACATCAACAGGTTTTAAAAGCCAAGATGTCCACCAATCCCATGGCTTAAGAGGGCCAAGTGTATAGTGAATAACACGAAGTTCTTTCTCATCCACCATCCACTGCATGTTAATGTATAAGAACATTAGAAAGTTCAATTAACAAATTTGATGCAAATCAAAGGACACAGTCAGAGTCTCATTTTAATGACGCTATGTCATCAATCTTATATTGACTGCAGCAATTATTTTCAGACTTATGGGAACCATTTTTAGATAACAATTAGAAATACACCCATCATGATAATCAAAATATTTGAGGGTTGAAGCTCTATATTCAAACACGAACAGAAGTCAGATTTTAGCATAAGCATTCAAGATGAAGTCTTGATTGAATATCACATTGGATGATTTTTTGAAAGAAATAAAATAAAATAAGACCTAGAAAAATCCAAATATATTTAATCAAACAACTTCAAAGGGAATGTCAAATTCATCCTTCACTGTTAAAGGTAAATCAGTATTACTATTATTACAAAACATAAGAAAGTTCATAAACACTATTGTCATAAAAGCAACAATGAAAGGCATCCTCTACCAGAGCTATCTCATACAACTTCATAACTGGATTTTAATACAACCAGTGATCAAGATGAAGAAACAAAAGGTAGGTCCAGCAAATGAACCAAACTTCGATTTGATTCATGGTGTAATGGTATGGCTGCAAACCACATTGGTAGCAGTTGCGGGCAACATTCAGATTTGAAAGTATAAATTTATTCAGGCAACTTTACCAAATAGTAAAGAAAGCTAATGGTAACGTTAAAGGAAAACAAAAATGCATGGTATTCAACTTTACTGAAATTACAAATATATTAGTCTAGCCGTGGTAATCAAGTACAAATAGCAGGTACTGTTTGAAGTTAAGGAATCATACCTTGTTTGCAAGCATGTAAAGGCCAACATCTGCATTATATAGAGTTGAGAGTCTCTCCATCTCAGGAACTGATCTAGAATCTAGTACTTTCTGTGGCAAGTCTGGCTCAAAAACATGTGCATTAGCAAACCCTGCGTAGTAGGAGTTAAGAAACCCCTGATCTCCTGTGACATAAAAAGGATGTCAGGTTTTATTTTAAGCCACACGTCTACTGTGCAAAACCTCAAAACCCCATGTTTCCTAGATCCTTGGTATAGAAGTAATTTCTGAATATGTTGTAATTTGTAATGACCAATTTAAGTATTTAATAATAGGATTAGCCTAATATTCTCTATGTTATGTCCAAGCGTCAGACCTTCATATACCTAAGTCTTAATATGTACCCAAGAGTTGGATATAGGTATGGGGATGCGTCATGGACACTTGTATATATATTGCATATTGTAATATTGTATAATATTATTAGATAAGATGTTGCAAATTATATAGAAATGTAATCAAAATTAAATAGGATTAAGGGAAATTAATGAATTTTTATCTTTCATCCATGTGAGAGGATAGAAATGTTGTTTTACTAGCAAATATGAGTTTCAGCTTCTTCAAACATTGTAAAAAAATTGAGGATCCAAGTGTCTAAATTGGGTACTAGTGTCGGACACATGTCCCACACCTTTACCCTTGTCATATCCGGGGAATAGGGGTACTTTGGGAAAAATATAAGAGTCCATGTAACACAAAATCTACTTGACATTGTAAACATTCAGAAAGATAATACTCTTACAAATAATAGAATGCAACACTTTTACAATTAATTAATAAACAATAAATATCATATAAAAAGTGGCAGGCAACAAATATACATGAAGCAAATCTCATACCTCCAGTATAAGAAGGCAAAGTGTTTACTTTGGTCATCATGTCATTAAAAACTGTTTGAGATGGTTCCACAACCAGGACTCCTGAATTAAGCCTCTCTGAGTGCTTTAAGTTGGCACAGAATTTCCCACATTTAAACAAATCTTCAACACTCCTTACAACTATTGTATCAGCATCAAGATACACCACTGCAACAACCAAAGAACAAAGAGAGAATAAAAGATCAACACCATTTAGAATATCATAATCTAGGAAGCACGGATACGGATACGGGATACGGATACGATACGATACGGATACGGCGATACGACAAAATTTGAAAAACTAGGATATGGGTACGGCGGGGATACGTTCATAAAAAATATTATTTTAACAATTTTTAGTAATGCAGTATGCATAAAAATAAAACTTAAAGCAAAAGATTACTTGATAAAGAAGAAAAATTCCTATAAAACTAAGAGTTTTCAAGGTCAATAGCTTCAACTTGTTCCTCTTCATCAGTGAAATATCACAGACCTTAGCTAAAGCCAAAAAACCATTCTTAAATAAAAATTTCAGCAAATATACTTTTTGAAGTCATCAACAATAGCCTAGGAAGCACGGATACGGATATGGTGATATGGGGATGTGGATATGGCGATATGTCAAAATTTGAAAAAGTATGATACAGGTACAGCGGGGATACATTCGTAAAAAAAAGAAAATTATAATTTTAATAATGTAATATGCATGAAAATAAAACTTAAAGTAAATTAATAAATAAAAAGAGGGATTCCTATTAACCTAAAAGTGCTCAAACATTCATAAAACATCCAAAACTAAAAGCAAAAGCAAAAGCAAAAGCAAAAGCAAATGCAAATGCAAATTAAACATCATCCTTACATGCCAACACCAAAAAAAGAATGAGAGCAGAGAGAAGAAACGTGAGAGAGTGAGAAAGCGAGAGAGAAGTGAGAGAGACAACAAGGATACATCAATTTGACAAATTCTATTACTTTAACTCTTACTATATTCCTCTTATCAAAGAACTAAACAAAATATTATAAGTAATATGTAACTTCGAGTATCCGATACTTCAAAATTAAGTATCCGATACTTCAAAATTAATAAAAAATTAATTAAGAAGTATCCGATACTTTTAAGAAGTATCCGATACGTATCCGCGAGTATCCGAGGAGTATCGGTATCTGATAAGTATCCGATACGGATACGTCACCCTTTTTGAAGTATCCGTGCTTCATAGATCATAATGATGCAAAAAAATAAAAAATAAAAAAAAATTCCTTATTTGCTACTTCAAAGAAAATTTTGCTAAGAAAATATAGGGGTGCTAAGCGCTGCTCTGGGCTGAATCAGGAGTTTGCTTTGAATTTACGGCACATTTTTCATTTTCCTTCAGATGACAACTGAACCACCATTTCATAATTTTGGAAACTCAGTTGACTGGCTCCTTCATTGTTGTAAAGAAAAAGAGAAGGAAGAGTCATGGTTAGAAGGAACAGTGTTTTAAAAAGCTCTAGGTGCATTGAGGCACCAAGGTCACCTGGAGCCTAAGCGCCGAGGCACGAGGCGAGGCACGCGCCTCACCAAAGCGAGGCGCAAGTTATAGAAGTTTAGCAAAATATTAATATAGCACAATTTTCAACATAAGCAAATATTTAATATATATATTATTAATTTTTTTAATAAGAAGAGAAGAGAAGAATAAAAAAAAAATTTAATATATATTATTTTATTTATTTATTATATTTTTTAAATAATGTGTTTCAATTAATTATTTTATTTTATTTTACATACATGTGTTTTTTTTTTTTTTATTACTATTTATAAATATATATTATATTTTATATATTATCTATAAGTATATTATATATTATATAATAGGTATTATATAATGTATTATATATATATGAATCAAGAAGATAAAGAGAGAGACAGAAGCGAGAGAGAGAGAGAGATCGCAATTGCGAGAGAGAAGGCGAGAGAGAGAGCGATTTATATATATATATATGAATCAAGCAGATAAAGAGAGAGAGACAGAAGCGAGAGAGAGAGAGAGTGATCGTGAGTGAGACAGAAGTGAGAGAGAAGACGAAGAGAGTTTTTTTCCACTAGAGAGAGAAGAGGAAGAGTTGTACCAAAGGAGATGAGAACAGAAGTCGAACCTTCATCGTTGCCTTCTTCTCATTGTCTTCTTTTTCTCCACTAGGGCTTCTTTTTTTTTTTGCTCTTTTGACCCACGTTTTGATCATTTTATATTGTAAATGAGAATTTATTCCATGTAGGTATTCACACCAAAACCAAATGGGCTGTAGCAGTAGAAGAAACGCGAAGCGCCAAAAACGCACGCCTCGAGCCTCAAAAAAAAGCGCACGCCTCATCGCCTCAGCTATGCCTCCTCTATGTCGCCTCGCCTCGCCTTGAGCTTAGGCGTGCGCTTAGGCGCACTTTTCAAAACATTGGGAAGGAAATTATTTTTGTGGCATGTGGTAGCTGGCTAAAGGAGGTAGAAGAAACTGAGAAGCAAATCTCAGAACAAAAATGGGTACCTAAGCAGCTGGAAGAAGATGATTACATGTTCAGCAAAGATGCCAAAATTCCTTGCAGATGAAAAGGCTCTCACCCATCAGCACAGTGCAACAAAGGCAGCCCTGCCCGCAACTGTGCAAATGCTTTGGATGGGCACATGACACAAATGCAATTCAAGCAGGCAGCACTGTTATATACATATCCAATTCTAGCTCACGAATGAAATATTGAAGATGTGTTCCTATCTATTGATCCAAACAATGCCTGAATAATAATCAAGAACTAGCATCAAGGACCATGGGACTAAGAAGTAGTATTCCATTCCATCCCAAAAATTCTGAACTTAAAACTTGTGAATACATACAAGTAAAATTGTAAAAATAGCACTGTAGCCAATTTCTTTGTGGTTTATAGAAAGCTAGGTTTTGATTTTCTCTTTGAAGCCAATGAGCATCCTTATAAAGCTCAAAATCTAACTGAAAATGACAGAGGGATATATCTACTTCAGGAATTACTTTCATATTATAAAATTACTTACAAAAATAAATAATAAAAAAAAAGGAAGAAGAAGTTGTGGGACACAAGAAACAAAAAAGTGTCCTATTTCTCTTTTCACTAGGCAAAACAGATTGTTCATCTGAGCATAATACAACCAATTTGCTTGGTTGATAAAAGTTATTCATTTTCTCTTGGGCCTATGAGCACGGATATTTGTGATGTGATGGTTTGTGATTGATGAAATAGTATTTTGTAGGTTGAATGATGCTTAAATTATAGATTGAGTGGGTTTTTCATGTTGAATTAGTTATTTTTGGTTGTTTATGGATAAAAATTAACATAAATATATATTATTTGTATTTTTTTTTTAAATTGTTGTGTCTGCATCCATGTTGCTTAGCTTGAGGAAACCAAAAGAATTAGAAAAAGAGATTCCACATTTTATTTGGACTTCCCGTCCTCGATTTTCTTTGCAACTGAAGAAAGAATAAGAGAAGTATGTTACCTTTCTTGTAGCTGGTCATATTGAATATTTTTAGCTTTGTGTAGACTCCCCAGAACCTTTTTGGTCTAATTTGATTAGGATTTGCCAATAAACTAATTAGCTCCACAATCCAACCATCAGCCTGCACATATAAAAACCACCAAAACCCGTGTAATGTTAATGTCTGTGTGAGAGAGAGAGAGAACTACATGAATTGAATCTATATAAATTTTTAGCCAAAACCAACTACTCAAATCATGAACCCATCAGGAATGCATTTCAAGTTCTCATCATGCTGGGTTAGATTAAGCCATACTTTGTTTCTTGCTTTTAAAAGCAAGGTTATACTTCAAGTTACAACTTGAAACCAGATATTATTAGAAAAAGCAACAAACCTCTCCTCAACTGATTGACATGAGTTTCTTATGGATTTGTTCTAATCTTAAAACCAAAATAACTTGACACAAGATTCAAAAGAAAAATTCCCTCGATTTTCTTAGCTGCGAAATAGAGAAAATAACTGGTAATTTTAATACTCTAAAGTCCACAACCTCTACCAGCTGAGCAACAACTTCATATTCATAATGTCCTCTCTGTTTGGCAAGTAAGAAAATATAGCAATAGTTCAGAATTTAAAAAAACGGATTCTCTTATTTATTACCACGAACTAACAGGGGACAATGTAAAAGAAATCAAGATCAAATTTGATTCTCTATTCTTTTTCTAAATTCATTACCATTACCAACCAAACAGAGCGAGCAGAAAATCTAGCAACACTTCAGAATTTAAAACCTTATTCTCTTATTTATTCCCACTAAACCAAAACCTGCCCACGAACTGATTGGCAACAACATAACTAAAACTATATCAAAATTGATTCTCTATATTTTTTTCCCCTAAATTGATTCTTATGGATTTGTTCTAATCTTCAAACCAGAATAACTTACCATAAGAATTTTTTTTTAAAAAAATTGCCTCAATTTTCTTAGCAGCCAAACAAAGAAAAGAACTGATAATTACTAGTATAAAGTCCACAACTTCTACCAGTTGAGCAACAACCTCACATTCTTAATCCCCTCTCTGTTTGGCAAGTAAGAAAATATAGCAATTTCAAAATTATTTATTCCCACAAATCCAAAACCTGCCCAGCAACTAATGGGGAACAATGTAAAAGAAATCAAGATCAAATTCGATTATCTATTCTTTTCCTAAATTTATTACCAACCAAAAATGTAAAGCAAAACCTGCCCACGAACAAGTTCAAAATTGATTCACTAATTTTTTTTCCCTAAAATTTTCTTAGCAACCAAACAAACAGAGGGAGCAGAAAAATTGAAACCTGGAGGAGCTTCGTGGCATAGTCCGAAACACCATCAGAGACAAGAACAACCATGTCCTTAGTAGATCCCGTGTCCCGAATCGACTTCCCGAGAACTCGAACACCCAGTAAGAACTCATCGCCGTATAGAAGAGTCACGTAAGCCTCGTTAGAAGACTCACGAACACAGATCGCATGCTGAAGCAGAGTGAATAGAAGCAAAAACCCTAATCTCCAGTAATTTGGTTTCATCGCAAAGTGAACCGAATTCGAGAGAGAGGACCTTGGGAGAGGAAGAGAAAGTTGAGATTTTCTCGAGAAAAAGGTGTCGAATTTGGCTCGAATTGGGAGGGTTTAGGGTTTGAAGCGCATTTGAAGTTGAATATTCGTGTACCTCGTCTTTTTCGTTGAGGTCGTCCCTGCCGTCTCTGAAAAGTGTTCCCAACCTCCAACTGGTTTTTGGAAAAAATTACACAACCTCCCCTTCAAATTAAGAAAAATACACTACGTTCCATAAATTGGATGTAAATTACAGAACCTCCCTTCAAATTAAGGGAAAAATGGGTAAATTACACTCACCTCCCCTTGGTTTCTAACAATTATAGGGACCTCTCCAGTAGTTTCAATAATTATAGAAATCTTCCTTACTTTTTCTGACATTTCAAGATTTCCCTTCCCATTAATTTAAGCCAGACGGTGTTAACTTAGTTGTGCTTAATACCCTTTAATTGTAATTTACCTATATATTAAATTATCATTTTATTTTTCACAATTTTTTTTTTTTTTTGCATTTCCTTGACTTTGTATTTTTTTTTCCACTATAAGTTTAAAAAAAAAAAAAAAAAAAAACCCAAAATGAAAGTTATAAAAAAGTTTTTTAAAAAATAAAAATGTTACCAAGCAATATGAACTATTTTAACCATTACAAAACTCAAAAATTAAAATTTGCTATAGCTTAGAAGATTTTAGATGTAATAAATAACAAATTATTTGAGTATTTTATTATTTTCAAATAATTTATTTCTTCAAGTAAAATTCTATTTTAATTAGAGGTAAGAAATGACAAATTTAAATAGTTTATTATTCTCAAATAATTTCCTTATCTTTCATTCCTTATCATCTAATTTTAATTTATTGTAACGTGATTAGATATTTTTTCACTGTTATATTTATTTTTTAAATTTTATTATTAAGGTGAGAAATATTGACTTTTTTTTAATGATAATTAAAATTTGAGAATAAAATAGGATTGTGAAAAGATAAAATGATAATTTTTTTATATATATTTATGAGGAAACATTATGTAATTTTTATAAGTCAAAATTTTTTATTATAAATATGAAATGTTGTTATGTTTATTTTTCTTTAAAAAAATTTTAATACACAAATATGTTTACAAAAAAAAAAAAAAAATTATCTTCATCTTCTACCTTAAAAACCCTAAACCTAAACTTTTCACCCACCCCAACACCACACCCAACTTCCCAACTTCTCCTACAACCCCCTCTCATTCCCCTCTCCATATCCCCTACAACCCGCTCCATCCCTTCCAACCTCCCCTACCACCTTTGACCTCCTTCCTCGTTCCTTCACCTCCCTCCTCCCTGATCCAATGACGCTTTCAAAGTTCAAGGAGTTTCAAACTGTGAATGAGAAAATAAATAGAAAGAAAAATGAAAGAAATAAAATAAAGAAAATGGAAAGAGAGGGATAAGTTCTCCAAATATGTATTTTTCATACCCAAAAAAAAAAATCAAATACCTATATATATTTTTAAATTTTTACTCAAATTCTAATTTCTCAACATAATTATTTATAAAATTGGCGGTCTTTTTAAAAATTAAAACATCTATTATACTTTGTTTCGTAATTTTCAAATGAATGATTGTATTTAATCTAGTATAAAGTTTAATGGTGATCAATTTATTAGCTCTTTTTTTTTAGATAAGGTAATGTTTGGTTTTTCTACTATATATATGTTTGTCTTAACAATTTAGAATTTTTTTTTAAATATTGTATAATTTGTTTAATATTATTAATATAATGTATGGGTCTTTATTAATTTTTTATAAAACCTCAAGGGAGGTGAGTGAAATTTACTATTTGAACATATAAAGACAATCTTAAAATTTTTTACTCATAGTACATGATGTTAGCATGTCGTCATCATATTCTGTTAAATAAATTAATAGAAGATTAACAGTGGGGGAATCTTAATAATAGTTTCAAAAAAAATGGTGGTTTTCATAATTATTGAAACTACATGAGAGGTCCTTATAATTGTCAGAAACTTCATGGGAAGTGAGTGTAATTTACCCAAAAAAATTGATTTCTTCTCCTTTTTAGTAAGGAAAATAATATACATGCCCACTTTAGACCCATTTACAAGATCTAATGTTGTACAAGAGCATCTCTAATGTTTAACTCTTTTTTTCATCAAATATGAGTAAAATCGTCATCTGATATCGCGCGTTCCGACGGAGCAATATGAAATTTCATAAATCCACCGATCGATCGGAAGGACGACCAGGGGATGTTTGGCCGGTCAACCGACCAATGTAATTTTTCCACAGATTTTGTAGGGAGGTGGTCAAACAAAGGAACAATCGGTCGAACATCCGGCGGTCGTTTGATGGTGGTACATGCCCAACATCTCCAGCGGCTATGAATAGTAAATTGATGAAAAGCAAGCCATCCTCAATTTGATGAAAACTTTAAGATATCCTGGATTTGATATTAGTTTGATGAAAAGATTAGAGTAACAAATGTTTACTTTTTTCATCAAATTTGAATTTGATGAAAGAAAAGGTGCAACGTTGGAGATGCTCTAAGAAAGATGATTGTCTAATAACTAGAGAAAATATGAGAGAGAAAGTTAACTTATATTTTTGGGCAAATTACATATACCTCTCTCGAGGTTTAGCTAAATTACAAATATCCCCCTGAGGTTTATATTTCATAACAAATTACCCCCTAATTTCTTATGTAAATATAGCATTCAAGGGAGAATTTATAATTTCTCAAACCTTAGGGGGTATTTGTAATTTAGCCAAACCTCAAGGGGGTATATGTAATTTGCCCTATATTTTTTAATTAATTGCCAATCATTGAATTTAAAAATTGGATATAACTTTTGGGCTTGAATAACAATGCTATTTTGATAAAGTGTTATTATTTCTTTAGCCACATAGATATAAAATTGGTGTTGTCAATTTTTTTTATATTGAAATATATATTTTATCTTTAATTATTCTTAAATCTGCTTACTATTTACATTAATTTAATTACTTTAGTCTTGTAAAAAGAAAATTTATATAATTATACTAAATTTATAGACATTAATTTAATTGTTTTAATCTTTAAGAAATTACATTGACATAGGTTTAAGAAACAAATATCAGTTTAATGAGATTATTATTTTTTTTTTTTTCTTTTCCATTACAATTGATGAGAGGGAAATAGCGAAAAAATAAATTAAACTTGCATCAATAAAACTCGAATTTAAGTATCACGCGAATACTTCATTCACCAATACAATCCTTTACTCTAATAGTTAGCTAATTAGAGTGAATGAAAATGGTGAAATTACATTTTATTCTTAAGAAATTTGTACATTATTGTTAAATGATACAAGTACTATCACATTCTACTTCAAATGGCTTTCATACTCGATCTAATTCAATCAAATTGCCCTTTTATTCCTTACATATTCACCTCATCTCCTTTCAATCTCTCCTCTGTATCATAGCAACCTTATTTGGGATCATAGAGCTTCTGCCAACTGGGAAGCTGGACAGGAAAGGCCTAAACGAGCCCAACAAGGCAGAGTACCTCACATGAAGGATTTGTAGGCCCTTCCTCAAAATGGATTTCAGCCATAGCCAGATCAGAATCCCACAAAAAAAATAATAGATTCAAATAATCAAACCCATTGTCATTAAACCAAATGAAAGTAATGGTATTCAATGATGAATGCATTCCAAAGCTTTAATAGTACCCATGCTTAATCTAGCAATAGTTTCACTGTGGCCGCAGAGAGATGAAAAATCTTATTCAAAGCAATTATTTAGTTTTGGTACAAATCAGAAGTAAATAAACACTCAAAAGCGTGCACATGAGCTGTCTATGCAACTCCAACTTAGTTGTTGCATTTTCTCCCAAATAGAACTGGTGTCAATGCTCATCTTAGCATTGGGGTGGAGGGTAAATTCCAGGAAATGGATTTGGGAGGCAGAATCCTGCAGAGGGAGGTGGCGGGAAGACTCCTGCTGGCTGTGGTGGCGGGTAGACTTCTGAATATGGAGGCGGTGGTTGGTAGAGTCCATTTGATGGGCCTGAAACTAATATATGCATATTAATATATAATGAGTAGTTGAAGAAAATCATCAAGGATTAAATTTATTTGTACTGACAAAAAAAATGGAATAATAGAACCATGTATGAGGGCAGAACATATGGGAATTTTAACATTTAAAGAAACATTATCGTAATGGTAAAGACAAAGATGGGAAATTATCTTCCCATTTTTTTGGCGGGTCCGATTTGCGTTTGGTTTCTATACTCATAGACTTACTATAGAAAATTAAACATACCTGGTGGATAGCAAATGGAGGCCTGAGGAGGAGGATACGGCTGGGAATGAGGTGGGTATGGCTGTAAAGTGGTGGCTTGAGGAGGAGGCGGATATGGCTGTGAATAGGCGTCTTGAGAAGGCGGTGGGTATGAGTACGACTGTGATGGGGTGGCTTCAGAAGGAGGTGGGTATGGTTGTGAAGCTGCGGCTTGTGGGGGAGGCGGATATGAGGTGTATGACTGTGAAGGGGTGGCTTGAGATTGAGAAGGAGGTGGGTATGGCTGTCCAGGATAGCCTGCAGGAGGATTAAAATTTTCAGATGATTGAGTGGGAGGATAAGACAATGGCGGATACATTGCCGAATCAGGAGGATAAGTTGTGTTTGGAGATCCTGTTGCAGAATTAGGAGGGTATGTTGCAGAAGGAGACATGGTGGCTGAATATGGAGGGGGTGTCACGCTCGGAGACGAACCAGCATATGTCATGACAGCAGGGAAAGGAGCTGAATATGGTGGTGGGGTGGTTGTAGATGCAGAATATGGTGGTGTTGGAGTGGCAGCTGAATATGGAGGAGGGGTTGTCATGGTTGTAGATGCAGCAGAGTAGTAGGGTGTGGAGGCTGGATAGGGTGCTGAATATGGGGAGGTGGTTGTTGTCATGTTGGGTGGAGATGCAGCAGAGTAGGGTGGGACTGCTTGGTAAGGAGCTGCCGGAAACGGTGGTGGTTGTGAGGCATTATAGGGAGGAGGAGCAACAGTGGAGATTGTTGAATTTGGTGTTGCATATGGTGTTCCTGGTGGTGCATATTTTGTTGTTGTACTAGATGAGCCCAGCTTTTCTTGTACTTTGTCCTTCACAGCTGCAATAAAAAGTAGTGATCTTCAGAAACCCATAATGGAAAAAATTACATAATTGTGATAAATAAATAAAACTATGAGACAAAAAAAGAGAAGAGTGAATGGTTAAATTAAGTGATGGCTTGATGAATGTGGCCTGAAAGGACCATGTTAATAAAGATCCATATATACCATGGACAACTCCAGAGATCGGTCCGGCCACCATGACTGCCCACTGTGTGTATATGCACGCCTTGAATTAAAACATGATGATTGATGACACCTACTATGATATAAAAGGATGGAGGAAACCTTATGAGGATTTTTTTTATTGGTGATGTTAACAATATCCCGATAAACGAAAGAAATATATAAAAATGTCACTAAAAATTTTGTATTACAATTTTTTTTTTTTTTTTTTTTTTGGGTTAGAGGTTCAATTGTGATAATGGAGAGTTGACTTGATGTATTAGTCTTCTTGGCCTTAATAATATAAGTGGGCATAACCTTTGATAGACACTGCAAAATTTACGGCAACTTGCTGAAGTATGGATGGCATAGAAGACCAACACTAATACCAATTCAACGCTCATCTGGCAGAGCATGTGCAACTTGCTGAAGTATGGATGGCATAGAAGACCAACACTAATACCAATTCAACGCTCATCTGGCAGAGCATGTGCAATGGAAATGAATGAGAATGATTACTGAAAGCTGGTCTACTTTATTATCTATACACAAGTGTGTATACATATATTAATTGGACCCAAATCGAAGGACACCATTGAAAATGAATAAATTTATCATCATATCATGATTGGTCTTGGTCTAGGTACATTCATAATCACAATGGAGGTGCAATTCTTCCATTCAAGTTGCATAAAGTCAACACCCAATATATGGTCAACCAAAGCCCAACTCTCTTATTTTTGTTTGCAGCTTCTTTGTTTGACTTCAAATATACTACTAATGCTTATCCAACTGGCTTGGATCAACTCCTTATTGAAACCAGGGGTTGTGGATGGATGGGTTGAGTTGGATTGAGATATTTTTCAAATCAAATTGTTTTTGGTGAGTAGATTTTTTTTCACCCACAACCAATCCATCTATCATCAAAGTCGATAAATTGAATGAACTTTATGGTGATTTCAAATCGGTGAGTTAACCTTGCAAATTTTCAATATACAAGCTAAAATAATGAAATTAGTAAAATATCTCATAACAATTACCAATTTTTTTTTTTTTTTAAATGTAACATGTTATATGAAAAAATGGTGCTTGAAGGCTTTGAAAGATAATATGTTTATTTTTGTCATATAATAACACTTTGGGAAATTTGTTCGTTTTCTTGTTAAAAAGGCAAAACAAAATTTAGTTCTTTCAGAACTCCTCTATAATATAAAATTCTGTGTGAAGGACAAAATTTGTTATTTAAATATTTTATCTAACCATTATATCCCCTATTTGTCTCTCTTTCTTTTACAGCACTCTCTCTCTCTCTCTCGCTCTCTCTAACAACCCCAACCCGTAATTAATTACTAATCTGTAATTGAGGGTGTTAATTAAGGGAATAAAATAAATCATGTGTTTATTGTGTATTTTGTATGCTATTTGGCTTTCTATCTGTTACTCGTAGAAATATCTATCTGAAATTCTGCTTTGATCTAAAAATTGAAAGCCTTATTGGCCTCCAAAACTGAAATTGGTTACATTAATATGTTATTCGAAATTTTTAGAATCATATGACAAATTTTATTAAAAACTGATTCAGTTTAATTAATTAGGTTGTGTTTGGTGGGCCAAATGTTCTAATTATTATACAATAGCATCATGACTATATATATGAGCCTTAAGCTCATTCTTGAGCTCAATTTACTTCATTTGAGTGTAAAAATTTGAGATTTGCATTTTAGAGAGAGAAAACTCTCATTATAGAGAGAGAAAGGAAGAGATTGAAGAGAAATTGAAGGTTTTTTGTTGAGTTCATTAAGATTGTGTAAGAACAAGTGTGTTTGAAGACTCTAGGTAAGAATTCAACCCCCCAATTTTTGAATCTAAGTTATCAACATAAATATTATGTATTTAGATGTGTAAATTGAGCTTAAAATGAAGAATTGGGTTGTAATTCATACATGCACGTATACATAAATGTTAAGTCATCATTTTGATCATGAGCTTTATCATTCGTGTTGAATTTGGAGCATGAGATGTACATGCATGTATATTTTACCAAGTTTTGAGAGTGAATTCCATGTTCATATAATCTTAGAAGAAAATTGGGAGAAGGATTTTACATGCATGCATAAACATGAAGAGTTTTGCCATGTTGAGTTAATTTTGAGCATCTAAGTTTTTATCATAAGTTATTTGGTACATGCATGTGTAATTCATCATGTTTTAAGTTTAAATTCATGTTTTGAAAGGGATTTCCCTCATGTATGGAGCTTTTGAGCTCAAATTTGTTTAAAACCATGGTGTTAGAAAAAAAAGGGTTTATAAAACTTATATACATGAAAGTTTGAACTCAATTTTGGTGAATTCATGAGTTTTGAGCAAAAAGAGTTAGTGAAATTCATATGTTTATGTTTTGGAAACGTTTTCAAGCTTTAAAGACAAGCCATGCATGAGTTTTGCCTTTGAAATTGCATTTTGGAAGCTTAAAACCTTGTTTTGAAAACCCAAAATTTTTGCAGGTCGCTCGAGCGAAAGATTTGTCGCTCGAGCGAACATTTCAAGTATCCAGTAGTTTTACAATTTATTACAGACCGCTAGAGCGACCACTTGGTGGCTCGAGTGAACCCTTTGTATTTTGTCTGACCGCTCGAGCGAAGGAGTTATGGCTGAAACGTATTTTTCACCCGTCCAGTACTTTTGCAGGCAGAGCAGTCCACTCGAGCGACCAAAGGTCCGCTTGAGTGACCAGGCCAATTTCAGCATATTTTTGGAAGACATTCAATGTTCATATTTTTGTTCCCATCATTTTCTGAGCATATTTAGGCATGAATTATGAGTCATTAAAGAGTAATAAGCTAAGAAATGACATGAGTAATTGAATTAGAAATATGAGACAAATCCGAGATCTGAGAATGTGATTCACGTGTATAAGTTATGAGAATTGACTAAATAAGAAATCAATGTAAAGAAAGTTAAGTCGTAATTGCCAAGTACATGTGTAATGATAAGATATGTTTGTGTTATGCAACTTTGTGTTTGTAGGTCAATGTTCGAAGATTGATTGACTGTTTCTAGAAGCCCACTGTGAGTAACGTTATTGTAAAGATATGTTCATACGAATTATGTTCCAATGTGATATGATAAGTTATGATTTCTGAATTGCAATTTGTTTACGTGAACGAATATCCTATGTTTGAAATCTATTATGGCATCCATAGATAGTCCCAAGTCATGGGAAACAACATGTTAATGCGGGGTCCATGACATATATGTGATTACGAGATCTCGTTAGCCACTTCATTGTGGTGATATGTGTTTAATCGATATCCGGAACCGATTATTCTAGTCGAAAGACGATGTGATATGTTCTATTGAATGTATCATTATTATGTTCGGATATGAGGATGATTATGTTATGAGATGTTTTATGGATATGATATGTTTGGAATTCGTTCACTAACCTCTTTACATTAATGTTATTCACTAGACTTTAGCTCACTGTGTGTATATATATGTATAAGTGAGAGTTCTAGAGATCAAGCCTGAAGACTTTTGTCTGGATCTGTGTTCTGTTGTTAGCCAACCATTGTGCCTCACGTGGAGGTTCCTGAATGCCACGTGTTAGAAACTTCTGTCATTTCTGTATATAAGACTTTGTTTGTGTTTGTTGGCTGTACTTAAGATACTATTGTTAAGTGTGTGGGTATAACGTGAGAATGACTTTTGGATGCATATATAAAGTTTTAAATATTCTGTTTCATATAAGTCTGCACAACTCATTTGATGATTATATTTATGTATTAGTTTTCGCTAGCCCCTTATTTTGTGATTCTATTCCAGAGGCCAGAGGTAATCTTAGGATTACTAGCAGGTTACGACGCTAAACCTAAAGGGGTGGGTTTGGGTCGTGACACTCTCTCTCTCTTCAAATGCAAATATTACTCCGTTCAACCTCTCTTCCAGCGGTGGCACCAACTGCGACTTCACATACTCTTCCTCCTTCGCCGCAAGCTGTCGACTATCATTGAGCCTAAATTGTTGATGATTATTATGATTGTAGAGCTCAGAGATTGACGATGATTCTAAGGATGCTGAAGACGAATATCTTCATCCTAAATCCAAATTTCTCAAAGACAAAGGCACCATCACCTTCGAGAATGATATCTACACTACAAATTTCTAAAACTTCGATTAAAATTCTAACTCTTTTTAATCTTAATCACTGTTTTTCTATTTTATGAATTGATGATTTTGATTCCTCCGCTAGAAGAGAGGTTGAGCAAACAAAATTTGTTGCATTAATATGTATGTTCATAGCAGCGTCTTCGATTTGATATGTAACTTCTTCATCGTCATTAGCGTCTATATGTATATCCACATGTAGCCTTCATCCTTAATCCAATAAGTTTATCCACAATTGAGAGTTCGAGAGATTTGTACAAAATTGAGAAATCGAGAGATTGAAATGAAAAATCAATAGTTTTTTTGTTTGTTTGTTTGTTAATAGATCTAAAAGTAAAATTCGACTATAATTCGTTCATCTAATTTGTTTGAATTTTTGATTAATTGTTTGTTTGATTGTTTGTTCGATCATATACACTGTAATTTATTTATTTATTTTATGCCATATTTTTATGGCAGTAACATATTACTTTGGTAGTGTATTTTTGTGTGATTTGTTTTCTAAACTCATAGAGAAGATATGTTTCCTAATGTATTGACAGCAAAACTCTACTGTGAATTAGAGTAAAATGTTATTATAAAACAGAGTTAAATTTTACTATCTATATCAATTTTGACGTTTTTTTTTAAGAATTTCATAATCAATCTACGAGCTAGTTTCTACTCTAATCTCTTTAAATGAGAAGTTGCAAATGAATGATGGAGTAGAGAAAGTCAATGCTACGGCCTATCGAAAATTGGTTGATTCACTCAATTATCTCACTAATACAAGGCCAGACATTGTTTGCTCTATAAATCTTATTTCCAGATTCATGCATGAGCTGAGCAAGCTACACTATGTAGCAGCAAAGCGGATTCTTCAATATCTTTAGGGGACCAAGAAACTCGGCATCAGTTATGTGAAAGAAAATGACAATAAACTCATCGCTACACTAATAATGATTGGGCAGGATCATTGGATGATCGAAAGAGTACATTAGGTTGTGTATTTTGTATT